TTCTATACATCGGAGTCTCTTTTTCTGTTTTTCATATAGGGTTATCGTTACCATCTTTCTAAATTCCATATATATGTGTTAGTATACTGTAATGGTCTTTTTTCTGGCTTACTTCGCTCTGTATAATGGGCTCCAGTTTCATCCATCTCATTAGAACTGATTCAAATGAATTCTTTTTAATGGCTGAGTAATATTCCATGGTGTATATGTACCACAGCTTCCTCATCCATTGGTCTGCTGATGGGCATCTAGGTTGCTTCCATGTCCTGGCTATTATAAACAGTGCTGCGATGAACATTGGGGTGCACGTGTCTCTTTCAGATCTGGTTTCCTCGGTGTGTATGCCCAGAAGTGGGATTGCTGGGTCATATGGCAGTTCAGTAATAGGGAATTTTAAAAGAAAATAAAAGAGAAAAAATTTTTTAAAAAGGAAAGAAAAAAAATTTTTTTTTCTTTTAAAATTTAACAAAAAATATACATATATATCTAGGAATTTCTCTGGAGCTGTTGTGGTCAGTGTAGGTTCAGTTCAATTTCAGATAGCTCCTCTTTCCAGCTTACACTTCTCGATATCTATAGGCCCCTTCCGGTGTAGTTGGTGTTACCTTCAGGGATTTTAATCTGTTGCACCGGTCTTTTCTGAAGCGGTTCCCTTTGTTTATTTGGCTTCTGTTTGCCTTCTAATTTCTGCCCTGATACAGGCGGGCGGAAGTGATCTCTTATTTAGGTTCGCTAGTTCAGTTTAGTCCTACTATGGGGAGGGCGCGGCGCTGCCAACAGATATCGCTGTGTGTGGATAGCACTCACCGGCCACACTGGGTTTGCCCCATACAGGGGTGTCTGTGCTTTCCCCGTCTACACTGCTCAGGCTCCCGGCTGCTCTATATGGAGCGGGCCCTGCGTTGAGTGCGGTTCCAGTTTTCGGGTACTCCACAAAAGCGCAGATTCGGTTGTGCCTGCGTTTTGTGCCTTCCCTGGCCTGAGCGGTTCAGGCAGCCAAGGGTTTGGGTGCACTCTCCCCGGGTGCAGCGCGCCTTTTCCCTCCGCGGCGGGCGGCTCAGGCAGCCAGAGGCTTGGGTGCACTCTCCCCGGATGTGGCACGCCTTTTCCCTCCGCGGCCCCAGCGCACGCCGCCGGTTGGGTGCCTGTGGCTTGGTTTGTTCTCAGAAGCTGGCCTCTAGCCGCGACCCTCCTGGCGGATGTCGACCAACCAAAATCTCAGGAATTCTTAAGATAGAAACCGGAGGCCTGTTTGCAGTGTGGGAGGGGGTGGCTTCTCCGGGGCTGAGTTTTCCCCTTTCCCCTCCCCCCGCCTCCTACCTCCAGCTGGGATGGGCCGGCTCTTCTCTGGAGTTTCTCAGTCCCTTTGTTTTGCGAACCGCCGGCAGTGCGTTCAGGCCGGTTAATTTTCTCCCTTGCTATCCCACAGTTTAAAAGAGCTCCTTCCGATTGCTCTCAGGGTCTTCAGGCCAATCCTTACCCGGCCCGCTAAGCAATGCCCTAAGCAATGCCGCCCGCTCCTCTCCGTCCCGCCCCCACTTGTTGGTGGCGGGTGCGGGCGTCTGGGGTACTTTTCTGCTGGGAGTTGCTTTTAGGCACGTAATCTGTGGGCTTTATTTAATTTTTCCTCCCAGTTAGGTTGCCCTCCGAGATTTGAAAACTTCCCCCAGACCCGCCAGCGCGAGGGTTTCCTGGTGATTGGAAACTTCCTCTATTAAGACTCCCTTCCCGGGACGGGTCTCCATCCCTAGCTCTTCTGTCTCCCTTTTTATCTTTTATATTTTGTCCTACCTCCTTTCGAAGACAATGGGTTGCTTTTCTGGGCGCCTGATGTCCTCTGCTAGCGATCAGAAGTTGTTTTGTGATATTTGTTCAGCGTTCAATTGTTCTTTCGATGAATTTGTAGGAGAGAAAGTGGTCTCCCCATCCTAGTCCTCCGCCATCTTGGCTCCTCCCCTCTTTCCACACCAGGCTTTCTTGTCCACCACCAACTCCTGGAGTTTACTCAAACTCATGTCCATTGAATTGGTGATGTCATCCAACCATCTCATCCTCTGTCGTCCTCTTTTCCTCCTGCCTTCAAACTTCCCCAGCATCAGGGCCTTTTCCAATGAGTCAGCCCTTCACATCAGGTGGCCAAAGTATTAGCATTTCAGTTTCAGCATCAGTCCTTCCAATGAATATTCAGGACTGATTTCCTCTAGGATGGACTGGTTGGATCTCCTTGCAGTCCAAGGGACTCTCAAGAGTCTTCTCCAACACCACAGTTCAAAAGCATCAATTCTTCAGTGCTCAGCATTCTTTATAGTCCAACTCTCACATCCATACATGACTCTAGAAAAACCATAGCTTTGACTAGACGGACCTTTGTTGGCAAAGTAATGTCTCTGCTTTTAAATATGCTCTCTAGGTTGGTCATAGCTTTTCTTCCAAGGAGGGTTGACTTGCAGGATCCCAATTCATCCACCAGAGATCTAACCCATACTCCCTTCAATGAAAGCTTGGAATCTCAACCACTGGACCACCAGGGAATCCCCTTGTTTCTTCTCTTCAAATGGGAAATAAGTCATCAGGGTTACATGGGGACATGTTGGTATTTACAGAAACTCTGGTGCAATTTAACCCCTAGCTCATTATTCCCGTGAATAGTGGGGAATTGGGCACCAATAGACTGGATGGGGGTTGTCTCAGGGAACATTGTAAATCCAACTACTCTCCAGTTTTTTGGGTGAATGAAGAGGGGGAGTAAAAAGGCAGGAATTCTGGGCACATGGGTATGGAGGACTTGAGAGATGATTCTAAGAAAAGATTAGATGGCCATCATGTTCCCATACATCTCCAGAGTTCCCAGCAAGTTAGTGGTATCCACTGCAGACCTAAATCAAGCAGTGGCTCAAGGAGTGTAGAAGCTGGAGGGAGACACTACTAGGGCTCGTATGTGATGCTGCAAACTGTGAAAGACCCATTTTATGTCTGCTAATAGCTCTTTTTCTGGGAAAAATCCCAAATTAAATTCTAAGAAGTTAAATGAGGGGCAGTAGTTTATCTTCCAGAGAAGGCAATGGCACCCCACTCCAGTACTCTTGCCTGGAAAATTCCATGGAAGGAGGAGACTGGTGGGCTGCAGTCCGAGCGGTCACTAAGAGTTGAACATGACTGAGTGACTTCACTTTCACTTTTCACTTTCATGCATTGGAGAAGGAAATGGCAACCCACTCCAGTGTTCTTGCCTGGAGAATCCCAGGAACGGGGGAGCCTGATGGACTGCCGTCTATGGGGTCGCACAGAGTCGGACATGACTGAAGCGACTTAGCAGCAGCAGCAGCAGTTTCTCTTCAGTTTGCAGGTGCTCCATTACCATTAGCTCAAAATAAAGTGAAAGAAAGTGAAGTCGCTCAGTCGTGTCCAACTCTTTGTGACTCCATGGACTGCAGCCCACCAGGCTCCTCCATCCATGGGATTTTCCAGGCAAGAGTACTGGAGTGGGTTGCCATTGCCTTCTCCAGGGGATCTTCCCAACCCAGGGATTGAACCCAGGTCTCCCCTATTGCAGGCAGATGCTTTACCATCTAAGCCACCAGGGAAGCTCAAAATAATCCACCTCCCAAAGTAGCACATCTTAGGAAGGACTCTTCTGAACCCCTAGTTTTTTTAACAGGTGGGCAATATAGCAGCGTATACATAAAATGTGCTAACGGGGTAAATCCTATGGGTTCTCACCACACACACACACACACACACACACACACACACACACAAACATGAAAGGGTAACCACGTGAAGTGGTAAATACGTTAGCTTGGTTATAATGATTATCTCAGGATACATATGTAAACCAAATCAAGTTGTACATCTGAAATATAAACAATATATGTCAGCTACAATTCAAATACTTTCAGTTCAGTCCTTTCACACATACACACACACTCTCCTTCTTTAGTAGCTAGTGTCTTTATACATCTCTGTTCCCCAATTTGTTTCTAAATATTCAAAGGGAGAATTTGTGAGAATTATCTTAAGAGGAATCATTCTCTCTGAAACAAATGAAACAAAGCTTTCTGTGTCATGGTCACTGATCTGATGGACTTTAGTCTTGATCAGAGTTTATGAGGATAATAAAGTATGTGCATGTTTATAAACTAGAGAAGAATTAAAAGAGGATAGGAGGAAAAAATAATCTCACACACAAGAACATAGTCTTCTCAAATAGCTGGAATTGAAATTATCTTATTTTCTTTATTATAAGGAACATATGAAAAATCTTTCAGTCAGGAAGAGTGAAGGAGTCTTAATGATCTAGTATATTTTAATACTCTGACTTAACTAGGGTGACTCAAAAGTTTGAGAAGGGGAAAAGAAAATTCCTTATATCATTTCTTGATCTTATTAGATCCAAATACAGCTAGTTTGCCACATAATACAGATAGAGCTCTCACGTTGCGAGTATATATTTCCAACTTTTTAATGCTTCTCCCAAGAGCTGATTTTTGGGAATAACAAAAGCCATGTATTAAAACTTTCAAAACTCCTTGTGCTGAAGTGGGAAAAGCACTGGATAAGTAGCCAGTTAAACTAGACTTTTGTCTCAGCTTTTCTACTAAATTTTGGTCTTAGTAAATTCCTTAACTTTGAACTTTTGTTTACTGTAACACTACCAGTAGCATCCCAAAGGTGCCATGGTATTAGAATGAGATAGCTTAGATGAAAGGACCTTGAAATTCTTGAAGTGCTATGTAATGACTAAATTCCAGATGATAAGATCAAAGATAGCAAAGCTGACCAATATTATAAAAGAAAGCATATTATAGAAGAGCCCAGATTCATTATAAGTTTGTGTCTCATCTTTTTCTGTCATGCAATGTGTTTAACAGAATGGGTTATATAAAGAAGAAAGAAAGAATCAGGGGAGCCAGCCTGGGACAGCTCAAATGCTTACTCATTACTGTTTGAGGAGTAAGTTAAGGGCCAGCTGCTGGGCCATAACCCCTGTTGAGTGGTATCTATTTGTCAAAGTGCACAGGCACTTCCGGGTTACCCTCACAGGCGATAACAACACGTCTGGTGCTGGCTTTGGCCCGGTACCTGCAGTTGGGAGCCCTGGAGCTCCCCGTCTCCCTGCAGTCTGTGACCCTCACCACACCCTCGTGGCAGTTCATCTGGCCGTTCTTGCACTGAATGTTGGCAGTGCTGCAGATACTGCGGATGTTCCAAAGATCTTCATGAATGAAAGTGTTGAAGCGCTTGCACTGATGTAAAGTCATCTTCCGTCTTTGCATCATCAAGTTGCAGTAGCCGTCATTGCCTCCTGTCTCATCAGGGTCCACGTGTTGCCGCAGGAATCGTTGGTACATGCGATCCTGGCCATAGGAGGGCTGTACCAGCCCCAGCCCCAGCAGGGTCAGCAACAAGAAGAGAAGAAAGACCTGGGTCCGCTGGAGAGCCATCACTGCCTTGGAGATGCCTAGAGAAGACCAAGGGGCAAGAAAAATCATCCCGGGTTCAATAGGAAGTGAGCAACCCAAAGCAGCAAGGACAATTTTTGGAGCAACAGATGGGCCCTTTTTCTACACGTGCAGTCTAAGGGTTAGGCCCAGCTGAGTTCCTAGTTTGATACATATGTTACTACTGTCCTTTGTTTTCAAAGATGCTGCTTCATGATGGTGGATCACACTGTGTGTGATTATAATGCTGATGAGGGACTTGCATCTTATTCCACCTACAGCCTATCCTTAACAATAATGATCAGGATTAAACATAACTGTCATTTATTTAAATGCCACCTTCTCAGTTCACAACCACATTTTGCCCATGCATGGAAAGACCCAAAGCTCTAAGTCACATTTCTGTGTCTGCTGCTTCAGATACGTGATATGGAGTTAGGAGGAGAGGGAAGTGAAGGGGTTGTGGGAAGCAGGGTGGCAGGAAGAAATGATGCTAGATTTACTCCTCACCCCAGGACCACTGGATTCAACTTCTGAAGATACACTTAGCACTTGGGCAAGAGCTTCATCCCCACAACTTACTTTGTGTTGTCTGTCCCAAAACTAGTTGTGCACAATTCTGTCTCCTTTCTCTCATTCTGCTTCTTTGTGACCAACAACATGGGTTAGCAATATGACTAGCTACAGAGAAGATTTTACTTTTCAAACAAGAGCATGGATGGCATCAGTCACAATAACCAACTGATGTATTAAGACATGGAAAAATATTATGAACAGAGTTTAATGTAGACATCAATGGGTGCCTCTCAAGGTTCTACCCACAACAGAAAATTAAATGATCTTCAAATCCTCCCAACACATACTTTTTGGTTAGAGCTTGCCCCAAAGTCTTTCTCCATTGAACACGACGATCTCAGTAAGAACTTCTTTTGATACGGTGGTCCCAAGGCCCTAGTTCTGCCACACTAACTGTATGACCTTGGGGAAATTAACCTCTGTCAGGATATTTCCTCAAAAGTAAAATAAGCATAAAGGTAATACCGACCTCTAGGAATGTTGTGAAGAAGAAATGATAAAATCTATGTCAAGTGCTTATCATAATGCCTAGCCTATGCTAAGTGTTCAGTAAGGGTCAGCAATGATTATTTTTAGCATTTCCATTTTATCTTGGTTTCCTTTGTTCTCTTCATTCTGCTAAAATAATAACTATACTGAATTGCACATATTATAGACACCCTCCCTCTTGTACTGTAGAGAACCTATATTCCCAAGACATTAGAAGGCTGTTTTGGAGCTGAAATATCTCAGCTACTAGGGTTTATGCTGTGTACCTACACAAATGTTTCCTCTCCAAAGTGCATGGAATTTTCTTCCTTGCATGTCACCCTTTTTCAGAAGACTTGACAATTTTGAGTTCTTTTTCTCTTATCCTTGCAAAGTCAACAAAACATAGTGGAATAGGATTTCAATTTCACAAATGATTGACCTGAGATAAAATGACTTGCCTGTGACTAAACACTTCATTCTAAATAGCTTTTTGGTTGTGAGAGAACAGGAGATCAAGAGCAAAAAGCACTAGGAAGGGCTGGCTTCTCAGCAGCCAGCTCCATCAGCAAGTGGAGAAGCCCCCTGTCTCATTGCCACATGATTTCCTGGAAAAGTGTCATTTGTTCTAACACCAGGGCTGACTATGCGATAATAATGTTCTAAACAGATGTTTGGAGATGTGAGGTATTAAAATTTTTTAAAAATTTGTTTAGCTGTATGCCCAAGTTTAGGGGTGGCGGCCGAGAGGAGCTACCCCACCTCCAAGGAGTGGCGGCTGCGCGGGCGCAGGAGTGCCGAGAGGAGCTACTCCACGTTCAAGGTCGGGAGGGGCGGCCGTGAGGAGATACCCCTCGTCCAAGGTAAGGAGCAGCGGCTGCGCTTTGCTGGAGCAGCCGTGAGGAGATATCCCACGTCCAAGGTAAGAGAAACCCAAGTAAGACGGTAGGTGTTGCGAGAGGGCATCAGAGGGCAGACACACCGAAACCACAGTCACAGAAAACGAGCCAATCTGATCACAGGACCACAGTCTTGTCTAACTCAGTGAGACTAAGCCATGCCGTGTGGGGCCACCCAGGACGGACGGATCATGGTGGAGAGGTCTGACAGAATGTGGTCCACTGGAGGAGGGAACAGCAAACCACTTCAGTACTCTTGCCTTGAGAACCCTGTGAACAGTATGAAAAGGCAAAGTGATAGGATACTGAAAGAAGAACTCCCCAGGTCGGCAGGTGCCCAATATGCTACTGGATTTCAGTGGAGAAATAACTCCAGAAAGAATGAAGGGATGGAGCCAAAGCAGAAACAATACCCAGTTGTGGATGGGACTGGTGACAGAAGCAAGGACCGACACTGTAAAGGACAATATTGCATAGGAACCTGGAATGTTAGGTTCATGAATCAAGACAAATTGGAAGTGGTCAAACAGGAGATGGCAAGAGTGTACATTGACATTCTAGGAATCAGCAAACTAAAATGGGCTGGAATGGGTGAATTTAACTCAGAAGACCATTATTTCTACTACTGAACTGGGTAGGAATCCCTTAGAAGAAATGGAGTAGCCATTATGGTCAACAAAAGAGTCCAAAATGCAGTACTTGGATGCAATCTCAAATATGACAGAAATATCTCTGTTTGTTTCCAAGGCAAACCATTCAATATCATGGTAATCCAAGCCTATGCTGCAACCAGTAACACTGAAGAAGCTGAAGTTGAACGGTTCTATGAAGACCTACAAGACCTTTTAGAACTAACACCCAAAAAGGATGTCCTTCTCATTATAGGAGACTGGAATGCAAAAGTAGGAAGTCAAGAAACACCTGGAGTAAACAGGCAAATTTGGCCTTGGAGTACGGAATGAAGCAGGTCAAAGACTAATAGAGTTTTCCCAAGAGAATGCACTGGTCATAGCAAACACCCTCTTCCAACAACACAAGAGAAGACTCTACACATGGACATCACCAGATGGTCAACACTGAAATCAGATTGATTATATTCTTTGCAGCCAAAGATGGAGAAGCTCTATACAGTCAGCAAAAACAAGACCGGGGGCTGACTGTGGCTCAGATCATGAACTCCTTATTGCCAAATTCAGACTCAAACTGAAGAAAGTCGGGAAGACCACTAGACCATTCAGGTATGACCTAAATGAAATCCCTTATGACTATACAGTGGAAGTAAGAAATAGATTTAAGGGACCAGATCTGATAGACAAGAGTGCCTGATGAACTATGGACGGAGGTTTGTGACATTGTACAGGAGACAGGGATCAAGACCATTCCCATGGAAAAGAAATGCAAAAAGGCAAAATGGTTGTCTGAACAGGGCTTACAAATAGTTGTGAAAAGAAGAGAAGTGAAAAGGAAAGATATTCCCATTTGAATGCAGAGTTCCAAAGAATAGCAAGGAGAGATAAGACAGCCTTCCTCAGCGATCAATTGCAAAGAAATAGAGGAAAACAACAGAATGGGAAAGACTAGAGATCTCATCAAGAAAATTAGAGATACCAAGGGAACATTTCATGCCAAGATGGGCTCGATAAAGGACAGAAATGGTATGGACCCAACAGAAGCAGAAGATATTAAGAAGAGGTGGCAAGAATACGCAGAAGTACTGTACAAAAAAGATCTTCACGACTCAGATAATCACGATGGTGTGATCACTCACCTAGAGCCATCCTGGAATGTGAAGTCAAGTGGGTCTTAGAAAGCATCACTACAAACAAAGCCAGTGAATGTGATGGAATTCCAGTTGAGCTATTTCAAATCCAAAAAAATGATGCTGTGAAAGTACTGCACGCAATATGCCAGCAAATTTGGAAAACTCAGCCATGGCCACAGGACTGGAAAAGGTCAGTTTTCATTCCAATCCCTAAGAAAGGCAATCCCAAAGAATGCTCAAATTACTGCACAATTGCACTCATCTCACACGCTAGTAAAGTAATGCTCCAAAGTCTCCAAGCCAGGCTTCAGGAATACGTGAACCGTGAACTTCCAGATGTTCAAGCTGGTTTTAGAAAAGGCAGAGGAACCAGAGATCAAATTGCCAACATTCGCTGGATCATCAAAAAAACAAGAGAATTCCAGAAAAACATCTATTTCTGCTTTATTGACTATGCCAAAGCCTTTGACTGTGTGGATCACAATAAATTGTGGAAAATTCTGAAAGAGATGGGCATACCAGGTCACCTGACCTGCCTCTTGAGAAACCTATATGCAGGTCAGGAAGCAACAGTTAGAACTGGACATGGAACAACAGACTGGTTCCAAATAGGAAAAGGAGTACATCAAGGCTGTATATTGTCACCCTGCTTATTTAACTTATATGCAGTGTACATCTTGAGAAACGCTGGGCTGGAAGAAGCACAAGCTGGAATCAAGATTGTCGGGAAAAATATCAGTAACCTCAGATATGCAGATGACACCACCCTTATGGCAGAAAGTGAAGAGAAACTAAAAAGCCTCTTGATGAAAGTGAAAGAGGAGAGTGAAAAAGTTGGCGTAAAGCTCAACATTCAGAAAACAAAGATCATGGCATCTGCTCCCATCAGTTAACGGGAAATAGCTGGGGAAATAGTAGAAGCAGTGTCAGGCTTTATTTTTTGGGGCTCCAAAATCACTGCAGATGGTGATTGCAGCCATGAAATTAAAAGATGCTCACTCCTTGGAAGGAAAGTTATGACCAACCTAGAAAGCATATTAAAAAGCAGAAACATTACTTTGCCAACAAAGGTCTGACTAGTCAAGGCTATGGTTTTTCCAGTGGTCATGTAGGGATGTGAGAGTTGGACTATGAAGAAAGCTGAGCGCTGAAAAATTGATGCTTTTGAACTGTGGTGTTGGAGAAGACTTTTGAGAGTCCCTTGGGCTGCAAGGATACCCAAGCAGTCCATCCTAAAGGAGATCAGTCCTGGGTGATCATTGGAAGGACTGATGCTGAAGCTGAAACTCCAGTACTTTGGCCACCTGATGCAAAGAGTTGACTCATTGGAAAAGACCCTGATGCTGGGAGGGATTGGGGGCTGGAGGAGAAGGGGCCCACAGAGGATGAGATGTCTGGATGGCATCACCGACTCGATAGACATGAGTTTGAGTAAACTCCGGGAGTTGGTGATGGACAGGGAGGCCTGGCGTGCTGCGATTCATGGGGTCGCAAAGAGTCGTTGGACACTACTGAGCGACTGAACTGAACTGAACTTAGTTGTGGTGCAGTTCCAGAGCCCACCTGCTCAGTTGTTGTGGTTTGTGGGCTTAAATGCTCTGGGCCATGTGGGATCTTAGTTACCTGATCAAGGACCGAATCCCCATCCCTTTCATTGCAAGGTGCATCTATTAACCACTGGACCACCAGGGAAGTCCCTGGAGATGTGAGTTTTCACAACTATACTGTGATCAGTGTTGTAATGGTTCAAACCTTTGACCTTCCCCATCGAGACCATAGGATTTCCCTTGCGGCTCAGTGGGAAAGAATTCACCTATAATGCAGGAGATGCTGGTTCAATCCCTGGGTGGGGAAGATCCCCTAGAGAAGGAAATAGCTATGCATTCCAGAATTCTTCCAGAATTCATAGGATTCCCTGGAAATTCTATGGACAGAGGAGCCTGGAAGGCTATAGTCCATGGGATTGCAGAAAAGTTGAACACCACTTAGCGACCCTAACTGGGCAAGAGTCTGTTTGGAAGCCCCCTTTACCTCAACAGATGGTACTGGTTGGAGAATCTGAGAAAGAGTTCTAGTAGTCTACTAAGCACTGGAAATTTCTTGCTTCCTAAGGGCTTTTTTTTACTTTATAATAGTAAGACAAATTTTCCAAAAGAATTTTGGGAAATTCTTCTCCTTACTTTGGAGAGAAATGACAAATGTTTTCAATTTTGAAATAGATGAAACTTTGACCTACTCTTCCATCCCCTCCTCCATAAACTGAATTCTTTCTGTGAGGCTGGGCTCTGTGTGGTACCAGGACACTGGCCTCTAACCCAGGTATTGAGGAACCATGGTATTGAGGAACCAGGTCCATTTCAGGGCATGTACACAGCAGGGGAGGCTACCATGGGGAATACTGTGACCATGATAGTCATTCATAAGATGGCAAAAATAGTGATGCATAGTTGTAGTTTATTAACTACACTCTAAATAAGATATCCAGGTATCTGTTGATGAAATTAGGTAACACCAAACTCATAGATTAATTAGCATATTTTACAAAGACTGTCTGTTAACTTAATCTTGTATTTACTTGAAGTGAAGTGAAGTGAAGTGAAGTGGCTCAGTTGTGTCCGACTCTTTGCAACCCCATGGACTGTAGCCTACCAGGCTCCTCTGTCCATGAGATTTTCCAGACAAGAGTACCAGAGTGGGTTGCCATTTCCTCCTTGAAACCATATCAAATTGAAGAATAAAGGATAAGCTTGGAATTTTTCTATGACCTCCCTAAGACCTCAGAGTTGCCAGGCATCAGTTGATAAAGGAAAAGATTAAAGAGAAAATAATGTAGTAATCAATTTTTTAATCTTTTTATGAAATAACCATGAGAATATCCTGGGAGTGTTCCATTCAAAGCAATATCAAATTTCTTCCTGCTTAAGGGAAGAGGTGGCTACCCTGAATGGGTTTTGTTATTTACACAGGATTTCAAATGTGTGCATGTGTGTGAGAGAGAGAGAGAGGGAAAGAAAATGTAATTAATCTATTGGTACTTAGTCCCAGGGGGCTTCCCAGGTGGTGCAGTGTAAAGAATCTGCCTGCCAGTGCAGGAGACACAAGAGATGTGGGTTCAATTCCTGGATCGGGAAGATCCCCTGGAGGAGGAAACGGCAACCCACTCCAGTATTCTTGCCTGGAAAATTTCATGGACAAAGGAACCTGGTGGGCTGTAGTTCACGGGATCCCAAAGAGTGGGATATGACTGGATGACTAACACACACACCCCTTCACAGAAAGGTAAAGTCCACTCCCTGAATGCCTGAAAAGGAACTGACTGGTAAGGAAAGAGGCATTGCTCTACCATCCAACCCTCTCAGATGAACAGCGAAAATGCAGAAAGATCAATAGACCAAGAATCAGTGAGAAGACTTTGATTCTTACTGATTTGAGAGACTTTTTATTTATGGAGCATATTGTAAAGCAGAAAAGATCAGCAGCTCATTTTCTGGATTCTTATCAATGAATGTTGCCGCAGTCTAAGGGGAAAATGCAAAGAAAGATGAGCAGAGCCAGCTCTGGGCTACTATCTTGAAGGGATAAAGGACTCATCAAAGTGGACGGGCCAGCCATTTTCACAGCCAATAACAATGACTCTGGAGGATTTTGTGGCTCTGTACTTGCATGGAGGCCGGGAGGAACCTCCTCTATGCTTGCAGGTGGTGACCTGGAATGCAGATCTGCTTATTTTGAGATTGCCTCCATAAGGCTCTCCATTCCTGTCTTCACAGATGGCCTTGATGTCATTCTTGTTGCCATGAATAAAGGTGTTGGTGTCTTTGCAAGGTCTGGTCAGGCCTCGATTTTGCATGATGTTATTACAGTATTTGTCATCCCGGCCCTTTGGTTTGGCGTCGTAGTGCTGGGTCAGGAAGTGTCTGTATCTGTAGTCATCTTGATCCAGGGCCAGTGGGGTCAGACCCAGACCCAGCATGAAGACCAAAAACAGGGGGCTCAGGACCATGACCATCTCTTCCAACAAAGGCTCCTGCCAAGGGCAAAAAGAGATGTAGTAGGGCACAGAACAGCATTGCCAAACTAGGCTGGAAGGACAGGGATTTGTTTTATGGTAGGGTGCCATGAATCATGGAGAAGGAAATGGCAATCCACTCCAGTACTCTTGCCTGGAAAATCCCATAGACGGAGGAGCCTGGTAGGCTGCAGTCCATGGGGTCGCTAGGAGTCGGATATGACTGAGCGACTTCACTTTCACTTTTCACTTTCATGCATTGGAGAAGGAAATGGCAACCCACTCCAGTGTTCTTGCCTGGAGAGTCCCAGGGACGGAGGAGCCTGGTGGGCTGCCGTCTATGGGGTCACACAGAGTCTGTCATGACTGAAGCGTCGTAGCAGCAGCCATGAATCAGGTACCCTCTGTCACTAGGTATATCTTTTTCTTTTCCTTTCCTCAGTAGTCTCATCTGTCTCATCAATCGATTTCTTTGGAAAGTCAATTTAAAAGTTTCCTGAACACAACTTCCAAATGCAAACACTCTTTTCTATCCCTGAAGATCACTGAAAATTTACATTTCTATCAGTGGTACCATTAAAAAATCCATTCACACTCTTTAATTCATTTATTAACTGGGTACCAAACACCATGCTAGGTCCTAGAACACAAAGACCATTAAGATATACCAAGTGTCTTACACTCTTTAATTCATTTATTAACTGGGTACCAAACACCATGCTAGGTCCTAGAATACAAAGACCATTAAGACATACCAAGTGTCTCCCTAATACAGGATCCCCATGGGGGGATCAGCCATGGGGAAGGCATCAGAGCACTGATGTACAAAGATGAAACAAAAAGATATACACTGAGAGCTATGAAGATGAGGGACTTTCAGGGAACCTTGAGCCCAGGGAAGGGCGATCAGAGAGGACTGTTGAAGATGGATTCCAGGGCAAGTCAATCCATCAGTTGACTGGGAGGAGAGCAGGGGGAGAAGTTTCACCAGGAGGTGCATGGAAGCAGAAGTAGCAGAACTAATTCCCCAAGAAGTAACTGTTTCATGGCCAAATGTGGAATTATTACCATTTAGGAAGAACAGGGACAAGTGTGGAAGAATCTGTGTCGTACTTGGCAGTGGGTCTGGGGTCAGCTCTTACAGAGAACTGGAGGAAGAGGAATTCAAGCTTACTCTTGACAGCTTCTTGCACTGGGAACAGTTTGGATTATTCTCAGAGAATATTTTCCAGTTTCCCTGAAGGCCTATGTGGACAGTTACGCAACAGGCAAATGGTATTATCATGTGGTTAAACAAATAAACAACAAAACACTTCAGACCTTTTCATTAAATAAAAGGCTTTATAATTTGCTGTATTGATTTCTTCACATCTTCCTCAAAAGAAGAGAGAGCTGCCATCACCACTCAGGAACAGTCAACTAAAACTGTAACGCTCACACATCCCAGGAATGGTGTGTCACAGACAGCACAGCCAGAGAGTGAATATTGTGCTTCTTGCTGGGATGTGATTTTAACTCAATGACAGATAATTAAAAATAGAATTAGACCAACATAATTTATAACAAAATAGAAAACAAGCTTCTCATGAGCCACTAAGATTTTATTTCTTCTGGAAGCTGAGAATTGGAGCATTGCAAGATACTTATTGTTTGTAGCAGATAGTTTCTGACTATACCATCAGTTCTTTGGAGGAAAATTGAAAGAATAGGGCCTTTTTAAAAAACCACCATGGTCCTACTTCACTTTTTACCAAATAAATGTGAATGTCCTCATGTCTAACGATAAAAAGAACTTTTCAACGTTAATTGGAAACTGATTTTTATAACTTGGTTTTTCAAATTGTTTTCCAATGAGTAACTCATCCAATTTATAATTGGCTATGATTTCTCGTCAGTCATCACACATGCTGAGAAATTCTTAGACTGGGATAAAAATCTGATCTTCAATTTATTTTTAAATGTACTATAATCTTTATGAATCCACATAAATGGTATCAGTTCAGTTCAGTTCAGTCGCTCAGTCATGTCCGACTCTTCGTGACCCCATGAATCGCAGCATGCCAGGCAGTGTCATGGATATTAAATTATTAATTTTTATATTGTGCTTTTCTTGTTGTAAGTCAATAAACATATGTTCATATTAAATATTTTTGTGGCCCTTAAAGAGGCCACAAGTTGTAGCACTAAACCTGTAGTGATGCTCAACAATCCTGGGAGAACAGCTGTGGATCTAGAAAGACAAAAGGATTTGGGGCCCTGCTGCTTACATGGGAAGGCATGTCATAGGGTGAGCTTTCTAATCAGCATCTGACATTGATCTGCCTTATCTGTTTTATCGCTGTTCAGTCGCTCAGTCGTCTCCAACTCTTTGCAACTCCATGGACTGCAGCATGCCAGGCTTCCCTGTCCTTTACCATCTCCTGGAGCTTGTGCAAATTCATGTCCATTGAGTTGGTGATGCCATCCAACTGTCTCGTCTTCTGTCATCTCCTTCTCCTCCTGCCTTCAATCTCCTTGCAGTCCAAGGGACTCTCAAGAGTCTTCTCCAACACTACAGTTCAAAAGCATCAATTCATCAGCGCTCAGCCTTCTTTATGGTCCTGAGCTCACATCCATACATGACTGCTGGAAAAACCATAGCTTTGACTATACAGACATTTTTCAGCAATGTGATATCTCTGCTTTTTAATATGCTGTCTAGGTTTGTCATAGCTTTTCTTCCAAGGAGCAAGTGTGTTTTAATTTCATGGCTGCAGTCACCATGCACAGTGATTTTGGATCCCAAGTAATAAAGTCTGTCACTGTTTCCATTTTTTCCCCATCTATTTGCCATGAAGTGGTGGGACCAGATGCCATGATCTTAGTTTTTTGAATGTTCAGTTTTAAGCCAGTTTTTTCACTCCTTTTTCACCTTCATCAAGAGGTGTTTTAGTTTCTCTTTGCTTTCTGCCATTAAAGTGGTATCATCTGCATATCTGAGGTTGTTGATATTTCTCCCAGCAATCTTGATTTTAGCTTGTGCTTCCTCCAGCCCAGCAAGTCACATGATGTACTCTGCATACAAGTTAAATAAGCAGAGTGTCAATATACAGCCTTGACATACTCCTTTCCCGATTTTGAACCAGTCCATTGTTCCACGTCTGTTTCTGTCTGTTGCTTCTTGACCTGCATACAGGTTTCTCAGGAGGCAGGTAAGGTGGTCTGGTATTCCCATCTCTTTAAGAATTTTCCAGTTTGTTGAGATCCACACAGTCAAAGGCTTTAGTGTAGTCAATGAAGCAGAAGTACATGTTTTTCTGGAATTTCCTTGCTTTTTCTATGATCGAATGGATGCTGACAATTTGATCTCTGGTTTTTCCGCCTTTTCTAAATCCAGCTTGTGCATATGGAAGTCCTCAATTCATGTACTGTTGAAGGCTAGCTTGAAAGATTCTGAGCATTACCTTGCTAGCATGTGAAATGAGCCCAATTGTACAGTAGTTTGAACATTCTCTGGAACTGCCCTTCTTTGAGATTGGAATGAAAACTGACCTTTTCCTGTCCTGTGGCCACTGCTGAGTTTTCCAAAGTTGCTGGCATAATGAGTGCAGTACTTTAACAATGTCATCTTTTAGGATTTGAAGTAGCTCAGCTGAAATTCCATCACCCCCGCTAGCTTTGTTCATTGTGATGCTTCCTAAGGCCCACTTGACTTCACATTCCAGGATGTTTGGCTCTAGGTGAGTGCTCACTCCATCGTGGTTATCTGGGTCATGAAGCCCTTTTTTGTATAGTTCTTCTGTGTATTCTTGCCACCTCTTATTAATCTCTTCTGCTTCTGTTAGGTCCACACTATTTCTGTCCTTTATTGCGCCCATCTTTGCATGAAATGTTCCCTTGGTATCTCTAATTTTCTTGAAGAGATCTCTAGTCTTTTCCATTCTATTGTTTTCCTCTACTCCTTTGCACTGTTCACTCAGAAAATGAACAATTTCTTATCTTTCCTTGCTCTTCTTTGGAACTCTGCATTCAGATGGGCATCTCTTTCCTTTTCTCCTTTGCCTTTCACCTCTCTTCTTTTCTCAGCTATTTGTAAGTCCTCCTCAGACAACCATTTTGCCTTCTTGCATTTCTTTTTCTTTGGGATGGTTTTGGTCATTACTTCCTGTGAAATGTTACGAATCTCTGTCCATAGTTCTTCAGGCACTCTGTCTACCAGATCTAATCCTCTGTCTACCAGATGTAATCCTTTGAATCTATTTGTCACTTCTATTGCATAATCATAATGGATTTGATTTAACCTTACATTGCACTTTTCAGTCTGCTGGATGTGTTTTCTCTATTTTTTTGAAAAAGTTTCCAGCAATCACTGAAAGATAAATTTAACAGCCCAACCTTCACAGAAAGGAAAAGTCTGCCCCCTGTTACCTGAGATGGAAATGACTGATAAGGAAAAAGACATTGCTCTCCCATCCAACCCTCTCAGGGAGAAGCTGAATAGAGAAAATGGGGGAAGATCAATAGACCAGGGATCAGTGAGAAGACTGATTCTTGCTGATTGCAGATACTTTTTATTTATGAAGCATCTTGTAAAGCATAAAAGAAAAGATCAGCAGCTCATGTTCTAGCTTCTTAGCAATGCATGTTGCCATGATGCGAGGGGGAAATGCAAGGAAGGAAGGGCAGAGCCAGCTCTGGACTACGGTCTTGGAGGGATAAAGTTCTCCTCAAAGTGGACAGGAAAGCCATCTCGACAGCGAATAACAATGACTCTGTTTGCTCTGAAGGCTCTGTACCGGCATGGAGGCCGGGTGGACCCTCCTCTATGCTTGCAGGTCGTGACCTGGAAGGGAGACCTGCTTCTTCTAAGACCGTCTCTGTAAGGTTCTCCATTCCTATCATCACAGATGGCCCTGATGTCATCACTGTTGCCATGAACAAAGGTGTTGGTGTCTTTGCAGGGTCTAGTCATGTTTCGTCTCTCCATCATGGTGTTACAGTATCTGTCATTGTGGCCTGCTGGGTTAGGATCATAGTGCTTCCTTAAAAATCCCCTGTACCCATCATTTTGAGCCAGGGTTTGTGGGATCAGGCCCAGATCCAGCATGAAAACCAAAAACAGGGGGCTCAAGACCATGACCATGTCTTCCAACGAAGGCTCCTGCAAAGGGCAAAAGGAGATTAAGTAGGGCACAGAACAGCATTGCCAGATTAGGCTAAAAGGGACAAGGTATCATGAGTCAGGTATCCTTCATCACTACTCAGTGATATTCTTTTCCTTTTCTCGAAAAGGAAAAGTTTCATCTGTTTTGTCTATTGATTCCTTTGAAAAATCAATTTAAAAGTCTCCTGAACACAACTCCAGTCTCAGCTGGTCTTTCCTATCCCTGAGGATCACTGAAAATGTACCTTTCTATCAGTTGTAACATTACAAAATCCATTCACACGTTTTAATTGAGTTATTAGCTAATTTAATAGCAAACTCTATATAAGTCCCTACTGGGTACCAGGCACCATGCTAGGTCCTGGAAGACAAAGGCCATTAAGACACACGAAGTGCCTCCGTAATACGGGATGTGGCACCCATGGGGAAGAGATGGGAGCACCAGGCTACTGAGATGAGACAGTAAGATAGATGCTGAAAGCTATGAAGAAGAGGGACTTCTATGGAACCTTGAATCCCAGGGAAGGGGCGATCAGAGGATTGTTGAAGACAGATCCCAGGCATTCAAGTCAATCCATCAGTTGACTGTGAGGACAGCAGTTACACCCTGAGGTGCTGAGGTGAAGGGAAGCGGACCTAATTCCCCAAGAAATAGGTGGTTCATGGCCAAAGGTGGAATTGTTATATAAACTACCATACAGTTGTGCTCATTTCACATTCTAGCAAGTTATGCTCAAAATCTTTCAAGCTAGGCTTCAGCAATGTGTGATCCTAGAACTTCCAGATGTACAAGCTGGGTTTCAAAGAAGCAGATGAACCAGCGATCTTAACACTCTAATGGAAGAAAGTGAAGAGGAATGAAAGAGCCTCTTATTGAGCCTGTAAAAGCTAGCTTAAAACTCAATGTTAAAAAGACTAGGATCATGGCATCTGGTCTCATCACTTTATGGCAAACAGAAAGGTAAAACGTGGAAGTAAGTGACAGATTTTAATTTTCTTGAACTCCAAAATCACTGCAGATGGTGACTGAAGCCATGAAATTAAAAGACACTTGCTTCATCCTCTAGCTCTTACAGAGGACTGGAGGAAGAGGAACTCAAGCTTATTCTTAGGAGCTTCTTGCACTGGGAACAAATAGGATGATCCTCAGAGGATATTTTTCAGTTTCCCTGAATACATACCTACACTGATACACAATAGGCAAATGGTATTACCATGTGGTAAAACAAGCAAACAAAATACCTTAGATCTTTTCATCAAATGAAAGGCATTATAATTTCCTGTATTGATTTTTAATATCTTCTTCAAAAGAAGAAAGCTTCTATCATCTTTCAAGAGCAGTCAACTCAAACTGTAAAACTCAAACATTTTAGGAATGGTGTGTCACAGACACTCAACACACCCAGAGAGCAAATACTAAGTTTCTTCCTGGGGCACAATTTAACTCAATGACAGACAGTTTAAAATAGAATTAAATAGGCATAGAATATAATAAAATAGATAACAAATATCTTACAGTCACTAAGATTTTATGTCTTCTGAAACTTGAGAACTGAAAGACATTTGTTGTTTGTAGCAGGTAGTTTCTGCTATACCTTCAGTTCTTTGGGAAAAACTGTGACAAACAGGGCCTTTTTGTAAACCACCATAGTTCTACTCCACATCTCACCAAATAGATGTGAATGCCCTCATATCCAACAATAAAAATAACTTTCCACAGTAAATTAGAAACTGATTTTTATAACTTTTGTTTTTCAAATTGTTTTCCTACGAGTAACTCATCGTTTTATAATTGGCTATGATTTCTTGCCATGAAGAGATGGGACCAGATGCCATGATCTTAGTTTTCTGAATGTTGAGCTTTACGCCAACATTTTTACTCTCCTCTATCACTTTCTTCATCAAGAGGCTTTTTAGTTCCTCTTCACTTTCTTCCATAAGGGTGGTGTCATCTGCATATCTGCGGTTATTGATATTTCTCCCAGCAATCTTGATTCCAGCTTGTGCTTCTTCCAGCCCAGTGTTTCTCATGATGTACTCTGCATATAAGTTAAATAAGCAGGGTGACAATACATAGCCTTGGCGTACTCTTTTTTCATTTTGACACAAGTCTGTTGTTCCATGTCCGGTTCTAACTGTTGCTTCCTGACCTGCATATAGATTCCTCAAGCGGCAGGTCAGGTGGTCTGGTATGCCCATCTCTATTAGAATTTTCCACAGTTTATTGTGAGTCACACAGTCAAAGGCTTTGGCATAGTTAATAAAGCAGAAATCGATGTTTTTCTGGAGCTCTCTTGCTTTTTTGATGATCCAGTGGATGTTGGCAATTTGATCTCTGGTTCCTCTGCCTTTTCTAAAATCAGCTTGAACATCTGGAAGTTCACGGTTCACGTATTCCTGAAGCCTGGCTTGGAGAATTTTGAGCATTACTTTACTAGCGTGTGAGATGAGTGCAATTGTGTGGTAGTTTGAGCATTCTTTGGGATTGCCTTTCTTTGGGATTGGAATGAAAACTGACCTTTTCCAGTCCTGTGGCCACTGCTGAGCTTTCCAAATTTGCTGGCATATTGCGTGCAGTACTTTCACAGCATCATTGTCCAGGATTTGAAATAGCTCAACTGGAATTCCATCACATCCACTAGCTTTGTTCATAGTGATGCTTTCCAAGGCCCACTTTACTTTACATTCCAGGATGTCTGGCTCTAGGTGAGTGATCACACCATCGTGATTATCTGGGTTGTGAAGACCTTTTTTGTACAGTTCTTCTGTGTATTCTTGCCACCTCTTCTTAATATCTTCTGCTTCTGTTAGGTCCATACCAATGTTCCCTTGGTAACTCTAATTTTCTTGAAGAGATTTCTAGTCTTTCCCATTCTGTTGTTTTCCTCTATTTCTTTGCACTGATCACTGAGGAAGGCTTTCTTATCTCTCCTTGCTATTCTTCGGAACTCTGCATTCAAATGGGAATATCTTTCCTTTTCTCCTTTGCTTTTTGCTTCTCTTTGTTTCACAGCTATTTGTAAGGCCTCCTCAGACAGCCATTTTGCCTTTTTGCATTTCTTTTCCATGGGAATGGTCTTGATCCCTGTCTCCTGTACAATGTCACAAACCTCCGTCCATAGTTCATCAGGCACTCTATCAGATCTAGTCCCTTAAATCTATTTCTTACTTCCACTGTATAGTCATAAGGGGTTTCATTTAGGTCATACCTGAATGGTCTAGTGGTTTTCCCTACTTTCTTCAATTTAGGTCTGAATATGGCAATAAGGAGTTCATGATCTGAGCCACAGTCAGCCCCCGGTCTTGTTTTTGCTGACTGTATAGAGCTTCTCCATCTTTGGCTGCAAAGAATATAATCAATCTGATTTCAGTGTTGACCATCTGGTGATGTCCATGTGTAGAGTCTTCTCTTGTGTTGTTGGAAGACGGTGTTTGCTATGACCAGTGCATTCTCTTGGCAAAATTCTATTAGCCTCTGCCCTGCTTCATTCTGTACTCCAAGGCTAAACATTTGCCTGTTACTCCAGGTGTTTCTTGACTTTTACTTTTGCATTCCAGTCCCCTATAATGAGAAGGACATCCTTTTTGGGTGTTAGTTCTAAAAGGTCTTGTAGGTCTTCATAGAACCGTTCAACTTCAACTTCTTCAGTGTTACTGGTTGCGGCATAGGTTTGGATTACCGTGATATTGAATGGTTTGCCTTGGAAACGAACAGAGATCATTCTGTCATTTTGAGATTGCATCCAAGTACTGCATTTCAGACTCTTTTGTTGACCATAATGGCTACTCCATTTCTTCTAAGGGATTCCTGCCCACAGTAGTAGATATAATGGTCATCTGAGCTAAATTCACCCATTCCAGCCCATTTTAGTTTGCTGATTCCTAGAATGTCAATGTACACTCTTGCCATCTCCTGTTTGACCACTTCCAATTTGCCTTGATTCATGAACCTAACATTCCAGGTTCCTATGCAATATTGTTCTTTACAGTGTCGGTCCTTGCTTCTATCACCAGTCCCATCCACAACTGGGTATTGTTTCTGCTTTGGCTTCATCCCTTCATTCTTTCTGGAGTTATTTCTCCACTGATCTCCAGTAGCATATTGGGCACCTACCGACCTGGGCAGTTCCTCTTTCAGTATCCTATCACTTTGCCTTTTCATACTGTTCATGGGGTTCTCAAGGCAAGAATACTGAAGTAGTTTGCCATTCCCTTCTCCAGTGGACCACATTCTGTCAGACCTCTCCACCATGACCCTACCATCTTGGGTGGCCCCACATGGCATGGCTTAGTTTCATTGAATTAGACAAGACCGTGGTCCGTGCGATCACTTCATGGCAAATAGATGGGGAAACAGTGGAGAAACAGTGTCAGACTTTATTTTTTTGGACTCCAAAATCACTGCAGATGGTGATTGCAGCCATGAAATTAAAAGACATTTACTCCTTGGAAGGAAAGTTATGACCAACCTAGATAGCATATTAAAAAGCAGAGACATTACTTTGCCAACAAAGGTCCGTCTAGTCAAGGCTATGGTTTTTCCAGTGGTCATGTGTGGATGTGAGAGTTGGACTATGAAGAAAGCTGAGCACTGAAAAATTGATGCTTTTGAACTGTGGTGTTGGAGAAGATTCTTGAAAGTCCCTTGGACTGCAAGGAGATCCAACCAGTCCATCCTGAAGGAGATAAGTCCTGGGTGTTCATTGGAAGGACTGACGCTGAAGCTGAAACTCCAATACTCTGGCCACCTGCTGCAAAGAACTGACTCATATGAAAAGACCCTGAAGTTGGGAGGGAAGGGGGCAGGAGGAGAAGGGGACGACAGAGATGAGATAGCTGGATGGCATCACCGACTCGATGGACATGAGTTTGAGTAAACTCTGGGAGTTGGTGATGGACAGGGAGGCCTGGTGTGCTATGATTCATGGGGTCGCAAAGAGTCGGACACGACTGAGCAACTCAACTGAACTGAACTGATGATTTCTTGGCAATTATCA